GCATCTTCCTTGATACATACCTTTTCTTAAAATCCATTCAACAATTATCTTCTTTTATTTCTCTCTCAGGGTTCCTCATACTAGTAATTACTACAGTTTTAAGACAAATCTGTTCTTCCTGGGCTGCAATTACAATGAATTATACTTAGAGGAATTTACTTGGACAGCTTTGGTCTGTACAAAAATCCTTGTTATCTGATACTCTCGCTCTGATAGCACTTGGCTGCTTCCAAAACCCAATTTCTCTGGCAAGAGTTCAGATGGCACTATGGTCAGCTTTAAAGACACTCAGATATGAAAAGAAAGTCATATCATAAAAGAAATCAGGAATTTTAGCAGAGAGTCAAACTTTCTATGTGATTCTGAGGTATTACCTGCATCCCAAATAAAGCATTAGGGTGCTCATACTATACCCAATGTGGGCACTGAACTCAGAAAGCTGGCAGAAAAAGGGAGACACAGGCACAGGTAAGAGGAAAGCAACTGAGGTAGCAAGGGACCTGAACTTGAGTCTTAGAGGAAAGGCAATGTAGATACCAGGAAACAGCCAGCCAGATTAAATGCTCGCTGTGTAAATGGAGTTCAGCTATCACCAACAGGCAGATGCTATCTGCAAAAAGATTTTTTGCTTTGGGTATTTTTAACTCCCTCTACTGTTGGATGACTGAAGGGACTCCCACCACTATGGCAATGTGTTCACTATGACTGACAGTAACAAGCCCAGTGGAAAAGGATCACCTAGTCACAAAACTACAGAGATGGCTAAAGCACTAGGCAGGAAAGATGTGTCTCTAAGGCACCTTCATGTGGGAATATAAAATGAGACTGGACCCATAGCATCAGTGGAAAGAAAGTGAGGCTTTAAAAGAAAATTGCAATGTCCCCAAACTTATTTTGACAATACAAATATCATCCCCCATGCTCAGTCCTAAGAGAAGGTGGTAAATTAGAGAGTAAAGATTCCATCTTCATCATCCCTTCCATGTGACATGTCATTGAGGACACTTTTACAATCTTCAATGTTATCTGGCCTGTAAAGAGAGGAAAAGGATGATTAGGAACCAGAAGAAGCGGCCGAGTGGTGGTGGCACATGCCTTTAATCCCAGCACTCGGGAGGCAGAGGCAGGCGGATCTCTATGAGTTCGAGACCAGCCTGGTCTACAGTAGCTAGTTCCAGGACAGCCTCCAAAGCCACAGAGAAACCTTGTCTCGAAAAACCAAACCAAACCAAACCAAAACAAAAAAGAAAGAAAGAAAGAAAGAAAGAAAGAAAGAAAGAAAGAAAGAAAGAAAGAAAGAAGAAGCAAGCTCAAAGGACCTGTTTAGCTGTAGCACCCTAAATCCAGGCTGAGGACAGCAGACTCCATCCTGCCCAAGCCTCCTATTTTACAGGTGGGAAAACTGAGGCTGTGGAGCACAGAGGACTTTTGCCAACCTGTTACAATAAAGAGTATACAACTTGCTTTCAAAAGTATAAAATCATGACCTAAATGCATTGATATCCCAAGGGATGCTCAGCTTTGAACTCAGAAAGTCACCTTGCAGGGCCTCAGATCCCCCATCTAATAAGGTGTCATTGTTAATAAATGTTGTGGTGCTGATGCAATTAATGATTAAAATGATTTACAACAAATTATTTCATTTATTTCACCCTAAAAGCTATAAATAGAACAGATATCCAGAATCTGATCCCAGAGACTCTTCACATACTCTTCAAAAATAAAGCAAGTACTGACACATGCTGGTCTACGGGGCAAAGGAACCAAATCCCAGGAATAATGTTGCAAACATGTTACCTGATTTCCATATTGCTAACCCTCTTCTCAGTGACTCCGTACATACAATGTGCTTTTAAAATGAATTACTCAGTGCTGAAATAACTTCAAGCAGAGAATACCATAGCATGCCTCATCTTTCACACACTATACTTCCCTTAACGCTCCCTGATTTCCTTAGTCCTATTTGGACACACCTGTAATGTTAACTGAGACAGATGTTAATGTGAGTTAAAACTCCACAGCCTTTTCTGCCTCTAATGCAATGTCTCTCCAGCCCTGTGTTTAATCAGAACATAAGCACAAGTCATTAAACCACTGAGTAGTATCTAATCATGTGTAACAGCCTGTATAATCATCGCAACAATCGGCCACGCAAGATGAATTACCTCTTGTGTCTCTGCAAACAATTGGCTTCTGTGACT